TACAGCATAAAATTTTCTAAAAAAAATCTATGCCAGGATTATTTTTTTCAATTTATAAATTCGTATATTTGAAAGCTTTGAAAAGTGAAATATCAAAATATTCAGTTTTAGTGTTTTTTGACTAAAAATGTTTATATTTACCAAAAATTTGGATTTAAATAATATAAAATAGTTAAAAAATATCGTTAATAATCTGTCCATTCAATATCGAAACGTTTGAAATGGCAACTTATTAGCCCTAGGAAACGTGTTTGCAAATGTTTAGCCTACTTCGAGTAATGATGCGAAATATTCACTAGCTCTCCGACTGTACCGAGTGTTCAAATTAAAGTGTTACAATTAAATACCGCCTTTTCTAAAAAAAAAAACGTTTCAGACGAAATTTTTATATTTTTTTGGCTACAATCTTTTTTTAAAGCTAACCATTATATGGTTAGGTGTTACTCAATCAATAAAAGTCGAATAAAAAAATGTTTTCATTAAAAGTTTTTTATTTTTTATGAACTATAAGAATATGGGGTTCCAATTTGAAATGAAAAAGTCCACCTCGATACGGCCTTATTATGGTCGGCTATAAAAAAATTAATTTTGCCAAAATGTTTTTCCCAAAAAACTCTAAAGCTTTTGTCTAAAACTTTTTTATAAAATGCATATTTTCGGCGATATTTAACTGTAACACTTTAATTTAAACACTCGGTATTGATTATTCTGTATCTACGTTTAATTCGTAAATACTTGCTAAATGTTCTGGTGCATTAATATTAAAAAATTAGCCAAATGCAAAAGTAATAGTTTAAATACATATAAGTTAATACGTTGATATAAGACCTATGTGGGTTCAGGGCCGCTGAGAGCCAGGTGGAGCCCGGTACAATTTTATAAATTAAGCCCTTTCGATATCACATTTCTAAAAAAAGTCATCAAGCAAAAACTAACATCCTAAAAAAAAGATCCTCGGCCTTGTATTTTTCGTAAACAAAGTCCTTCCTTTTGTGGCGAACTTCTAAAAAAATAAAACGTCCTCACCTAAAGCTGCCGGGCCCCCCTTGTGCCGCTGCCGGGCCCCCTCTTGTGCCCGGGCCCCGAGAATTTGTCCCGCCTGCCTCCCCCTCTCGCTGGCCCTGTGCGAGTTGAAGCATCAGTATAGATTTTTTTGTTTGTATATTTAAAGGAATGCAATTTTAATAATCTTAATACACTTTATTTTTAACGTTCGTGGTTTTCTCATATATTTTTGTTCAATACTTTTGAAGATAACCCAGGCAGCACACATTTGTATAATTAACGTATTTTATACGTAATTCTCGTTTATATTTGGTATTAGTTGATTCCGTATACGTTTACAGTTTACGATCATTATACATATCTTTTTTTAAATGATTAATTATACGTTTTTTATATGTCCAATGGTATATAACTGTAAATTATTCTACGTTTAAATGTAGTTAACAACATACGACTATTTTTAATTTGTGATCAACGATTTGTAGACAGTGTGCCTAAATATGCGTTTAGGTTTATTTAAATTAAATTCGTATACATTTATATAATATTTTATATAATATTATAATGTATTTTTCGTTAATAACTTCCGTTTAAATTACGTCTTGATTGATTTCTTCAACATTTGACAACTACTATTTTTATACCTAACTTTTTTTAACGGATAAATTAAACGTTTATAGATACTAGTTATTGTATATTATACATTTAAATATAATTTACCTTACACGCATATTTCCTGTTGGCGATAAACTACTAGATAGAAGTAAATAATATGCATATAAACAAAAGGGATGTATCATCCCTAATAAAAGGTCTAAACTGCTTTTTCAATGGTTTAATTCACGATCAAGTATTCTCAATTACAATGTTGATGTGGTATTGCCACTGTCTATTCGCGTACTGCCCACTGCGCTGGTCTGCCTTCTCCCGCTCGTCCATCCTGACACGCACGTGTATGAACTTCAAGAATGTGTAGTGGGGAGCAAAGGTACACCGCTAACATGCATACATTTAGGTTTATTTATTTTAAAATCTTATTGGTATATTTATATTACATCCATATTTTTCACCTATTTATAACAAATTCCCCATACACACGGAACAATTTGATAAGGCGGATGAAACATGGCATACTCGGGCTACGATCTCTTCTCATTTCTAGTCTTGCGTTTGCGCGTATTGGGTAGTGTAATGTGCTGTGACATTGTGTAGGTCGTTTTACCATACTCACGTGTTCAAAGATATTGATTAAAGGAATAGGTAAGTTAATATTGTTTTATTTTAGTTATTCTTTCAATTATTCCTGCATTTTACAACAAATGCTGTTTTATAGGTAGGTACAGTGTGTAAGATGCTTACAGAAATTCTAAAACATAACCTTACTTTCTAACTTTTGTTTCTCTTATTTTTATAAGGCCACCTATTTATTCCTATTACATTGATTTTCCATATTTTATTCGTCACAAGACCTTAAAATGACGACATTTTGACGAATTGAACAGAACGTTAATTAGATGTTTAATAATGGTGGAAAAGTGGCACATTTTTGAAAAGGTAATTTTATCAGAAATTACATTTCAATTTTGTTAGTTTTTAAGTTCACCTACTTTCTAAAAAAAGTAATAAACTGTAAAATTGATTTTTTAAAGATGTATTAAAACGTTAATTCAACAGGTGTTAAAAATGTGACCCGTCAGCATACAATAATACAAATTTTGTTCAAATCTATTGCGAACATTTCGTAGAATTTTAGATGTTACTCTCCTGCACTCAGCTATATCCGTTGGCAAAGATCTTCTATTGAATTAGGCTTCGTAGGAAAACATTTATTTTTCAAGTGTCCCCAAAGAAATTAGTCCAGAGGCGATAAATCCGGTAACCTTGCTGGCCATTCAATTGGGCCTCTCCTTACAATCCACTGTCCAGGGTATCGGTTATTTAAAAACTCTCTTACAGCACCAATATAGTGCGGAGGTGCTGCATCTTGCTGGAAATGAAACTGATCAACATCATGATTTGGGACATTTTCTAATATTTCTGTTATAAGAGGATCAATTTCATCTTCAAGCATGTTTAGGTACACTTCACCAGTTAAGTTTCCAGGAATGAAAAGAGGTTCTACAATATGGTTACCTAATATGCCACACCAGACATTTATTTTTTCAGGGTGTTGGGTATAATACTCACGGAATAAATGTGGGTTACTGTCATCCCAGTAACGATAATTATGCCTATTGAAAGCTCCATTGAAGTGAAATGTACACTCATCGAAAAACAAATATTAAATAATAAGTCAGGATCTGCAATTAAACACTGGCTCATTTCTTCACAAAACTGCAGCCTTCTATCAAGATCATCCTTGTTCAGCTCTTGTACTAATCTAGTTTTGTACGATAAACTCTGAATTGTCGGCATTAAATCTGCTTCTGAGCAGGGCCGACTAGAGGGGGGGGGTAGCCGGGACTAATTCCCGGGGCCCGGACTCAAATGGGGGCCCGGCAGCGGTATAAGGGGGGCCCGGTAATCGTGGCGTGAAGCTCGGCACAAGACAAGAGGGGGAAATTTTTAGGTTGGGGACCTTTTTTTTTTAGGAAATTCAATTGAAGTAGAGGAGGAAAAGTTTTTGTTTGAAGAGGTTTTTTAGAACAGGAAAAGTTTTTGTTTGATTTTTTTTTTTTTTTTAGAGAAATTTAAGTAAAGAGAAGAGCATATTTTGTATAAAATTGCCAAGGGGCCCGATCTAGAGAATTGTCCTGGGGCCCGGCCTGGCTCTCGGCGGCCCTGCTTCTGAGAGACATGATTTAATTATTAACAGCACAAAATCGAATGTAATTTTATTTGGGAACTTTATCTCTACAGAGCTGGATATTAAAATTAAAAATATACCTTTAGATGTTGTTCACAAATGTTAAAACTTTCTCTAAAAAGCATATGGAAAATTGAAAATGTTATACCCGAATAGACACATATTAAGTCAAGATATAAAAAAACTACTTTGCGACTCGTTAGTTCTCTCACACGCTAACCACTGTGACTATGTCTATAATTCGTGTCTAACATTAATAGACAGCAATAGATTACAGAAATTGCAAAACTCTTGCCTGAGGCTAATATACTGTATAAGAAAATTTGATAAAATTTCACATACCTTAGAAAAGACTCATTGGCTTAATATGAAAAACTGATAAAATTAAATATCGGTCTGATATTCATAATATAAATATTAGAAGCAAAAATATTATTTTAGTCCCTCAACACCACTCCTCCTTATTTCAGAGATCCTTCAGGAACTGTATAATAAATCTGTATAACCTACTACCAATTTTAAAGCTGTCTCTCTTCAAAAAAATGTTTTCGAAAAACTTTTCAAAGAACAATGTAATAAGTTTAAATAATTTGTTTTCCTTCAGATAAATTTACCAACCCACTTTAGAATAAAGTGTATGACGTATTACGTTCCTACTATTTTTTATAAACGTTATTAGGTATGTACATTGGACTTCCATTTGATATACATTTTTAGATGACTCGACGTCCTAAAGTGAGTTTTTTCTGAACTTTTCACATACAATAAACGTCTAAAGGCGTATATGGCAAACTTTTAATTATTCAGAGGATGTCATTTTCTGGATTATATTCAGACATTGCAAATCCACACAATGAACGTTAAACAATAACCAATAGACGTTCATTCGTAAGTCAATTTAATAATGACCCAAGATGGACGTCCACTGGACATCAAAATACTACTAATTGTTTACTAAACTTAACTTATGTACAAAAACGGACGTACGCCTATACGCGTTCTGACCCCCCCCCCTCCCAAATAGATCTAAAAGAGACGTCTATTGGATTTTGTGTGCTGTCTGAGAAATTACATTCTAATAATATAAAAATGTTTTTTTTGGCCTTTGGATCTTAAAATACTATTAGTTTAGAGTTTAAAATAAACTAAAAAGGTACTATTATTCAAGATTTTTTGACCCTCGACTTACCATGTTTGCTAGTGTAAGAAACAGATTTCCATCTGATCTTATTTATAAGGGTCATCTTAATTTTGTCGTAACACTCTTGATAGGAGTCATAATTAGGTGCCCAGTATAGGTCAACCTGATGTCCAGGACCCAGCAGCTTCGACCTTAACACTTTCTTAGCAATCTGATGTGTTTGCCCCAGTTTAGTTAGATCATACAATTCTTGCATGGTCAGTGTTAAGTAATTCTTTAGCGCTCTGGTATCATCCCTGAAATTTTAAAAATATACAGGGTGATTCTTGATGAATATCATTTAGATTTATCTACACGGTTTTTCTAATCGTAGAATATGCATATCTATATAAGCGAAATACCACTGACTGACTCATCACGACATCTCCAAAACTATAAGCCCGATTGACTTGAAATTTGGCATAGTTACTCTTTTTTCGACGCAGACAACACGATTTTATTCTAAGGGGTGGAAACGGAGAGTGAAAATTTGTGTGGGAATATCGGTTTTTTTAAGGGTAGGAACTTGAAAATTGTAATTGTAACTACTCATCATAAATAAATAATAACGTATTTTAGAGTTTTTGATTTTACATTTTAATGGGGGGAAAACGGGGGTTGAAAGTTTATAGGAAGGTATCTTTTTTTTAAAAGGTAGGAACTGGAAAATTGGAATTGAAATTACTCATCATAAATAATAACTTATTACAGGGTTTTTGGATTTTTACATTTTAAGGAGGGAAACGGGAGTTGAAAATTTGTTTGGGAGTATCAGTTTTTTAAAGGTAGGAACTTGACAATTATAGCAACTCATCATAAATAAATAATGACATGTTTCCTCTGGTAAAATAAAACAAAAATAATTTAAAAAAAATAAAAACAATAATAAAAATAGATAAAAATTAATAAAAAAATAAAAAAAAATAAATAAAAAAATTAAAATAAATAAAAATATATAAAAATAAATAAAAATAAATAAAAATAAATAAAAATAAATAAAAATAAATAAAAATAAATAAAAATAAATAAAAATAAATAAAAATAAATAAAAATAAATAAAAATAAATAAAAATAAATAAAAATAAATAAAAATAAATAAAAATAAATAAAAATAAATAAAAATAAATAAAAATAAATAAAAATAAATAAAAATAAATAAAAATAAATAAAAATAAATAAAAATAAATAAAAATAAATAAAAATAAATAAAAATAAATAAAAATAAATAAAAATAAATAAAAATAAATAAAAATAAATAAAAATAAATAAAAATAAATAAAAATAAATAAAAATAAATAAAAATAAATAAAAATAAATAAAAATAAATAAAAATAAATAAAAATAGATAAAAATAAATAAAAATAAATGAAAATAAATTAAAATAAATTAAAATAAATTAAAATAAATAAAAATAGGTCCTAAGCTGCTACTCCGTATCGTTTTTTTACAATAGAAATCTATTATTTTCTTTTGTTGCACTATATATGTGTAACATATCGAGGGTACTCTGAGGTAACCTCGTATCTCAGAAATCACTATTTTACAGGAAAGGCAAAAACATTTTATTAGCTAACAGAATCAAAAATTTTCGATTATTTTAGAATTAATCACATAGTTTCGGAACACATGAATATTACAAGAAATAAATGAAATTCTCAAAAAGTTAATCGTTTACCGTAGAAACCTACAGGGCGTGACTGCATGATATGAGTTACGTGTTTTCAACATTCGGCGTCTGAGATACGAGGTTTTATTTTGTTAAATAAATAATTAACGGGTGAAGATTTGAATTTAAAATTTTACACAGTTATGTAAAAACATATTCTGAAGATGAATTCGAGTTTTACTCAAAACCCCCAAAAAACGAGTTACGTGGTTGCGTCAGAGTACCCTAGATATCAGACAACCAACGAGTATATACTACAGGATACACTAGTTTCATGAGAAACCACATTGATATATTTCCCGTGCGGTTGATGACGTATTCGTCAGTACAGAATCTGGTGGGTCACTATAGAAAAAGGTTTTTTTCACGGCATAAACCAACATAAACTATCTAAACTAGCTGTTGCCCGCGGATTCGGATGCGTGGAGTCGTGTTTTTAGTATAAAAAAAATGCATGACTTCCTAAAAAAGACGCGATAATACCAGATTGCACGCAGTACTTTTATTTATTTTTATTTATTTTTATTTATTTTTATTTATTTTTATTTATTTTTATTTATTTATTTTTATTTATTTTTATTTATTTTTATTTATTTTTATTTATTTTTATTTATTTTTATTTATTTTTATTTATTTTTATTTATTGTTATTTATTTTTATTTATTTTTATTTATTTTTATTTATTTTTATTTATTTTTATTTATTTTTATTTATTTTTATTTATTTTTATTTATTTTTATTTATTTTTATTTATTTTTATTTATTTTTATTTATTTTTATTTATTTTTATTTATTTTTATTTATTTTTATTTATTTTTATTTATTTTTATTTATTTTTATTTATTTTTATTTATTTTTATTTATTTTTATTTATTTTTATTTATTTTTATTTATTTTTATTTATTTTTATTTATTTTTATTTATTTTTATTTATTTTTATTTATTTTTATTTATTTTTATTTATTTTTATTTATTTTTATTTATTTTTATTTATTTTTATTTATTTTTATTTATTTTTATTTATTTTTATTTATTTTTATTTATTTTTATTTATTTTTATTTATTTTTATTTATTTTTATATATTTTTATTTATTTTTATTTTTCCCCCTCTTAAAATGTGAAAATCCAAAAACCATTAAACGAATCATTATTTATTTTTGATCAGTGGCTGTATTTCAAATTTTCATGTCTTTAACTTTAAGAAACAAAAAATATATACATACTTTCAAACAAATTTTCACCCTCCGTTTTCCCCCTTAAAATGTGAAAATCCAAAAACCCTGAAACACATCATTATTAATTTGTACTCAGCAGCTGTAATTTCAATTTTTATGTTTCTTACTTTAAAGAGAACCAAAAACATGGATAATTTCAAATAAATTTTCACCCCCATTTCCCCCCCTTAAAATGTGAAAATTCAAAAACCTTGAAACACGTCATTAATAGTTTGTAGTCAGTAGTTGCAATTCCAATTCCAATTTTCATGTTTCTAACTTCATAGAGAACAAAAAAAATCGATAGTCCCATGCAAACTTTCACCCCCCGTTTCCCCCCCAAAACCCTGAAACACGTCATTATTTATTTATGCTTAGTAGCCGTAAGTTAAATTACCATGTTTCTAATTTTAGAGAACAAAGAGTTTCATTAAAAGCTCACTCCCCCATTTCCGCTCCCATTTCCCCCCTTTAAAGTTAAAATTTCAAAAAACCCTTTCTTAGCGGATAGTCCAGTAACCGAAGACCTGAAAATATGCAAAGCTGTCATTAAGTCGGTCCAGATTTCCTTTGTGGCTCAAGTCTTAGGTCTTGACGGTTGCTTTCAAGGGCGAAAACTTTTACCAACTCTGTAGTGAGATTCCAAATCAGTGCGAAATGCGAAATCGAATGGCTTTCGATACTCGAAACCAAATACGATATCGAGAAATTTGCTATTCCTATTCGATATCGAACTGCCCTGCGTTTTGGTCGATTCCGAAACCCGTAGTCGTAGCAAGCATGCGCAATACGTGTTTTAATTGTCAATAATGCCATCCAAACTGACATTTTCTTTCTAAAGGAATAGTTATGCACACAATTTAATTTAACGCAAGAGCAGCCAATAAGGTGATCACAGCCAATAGCAGGGCTTAATTTTTAAATTACGTTAAATTAAATTCGTGCATAAACCCATCATATTTACTTATAATAGTTTTGTGCCAGTTTGTTTCAATTTAACAGTTAATAGAGAGTTATTGCAAGTTCACTTAAGGTCAGTCACTATTAGTGCCGCTCTTATTTTGACATCTGAGCATGCGCAGATCACTAACTTTAATAAAGATTGTGCCTGTCTTTAATAAGAGAGTTATTGCAAGTTCACTTAAGGTCAGTCACTATTAGTGCCGCTCTTATTTTGACATCTAATCATGCGCAGATGTTTATGATCTAAAACTGACTTTATTAAGGATTGTGCCTGTCCTTAATTGTGGATGTTTAAGGACAGCAGATAGTGGCGACTTTATAGCTTTCGGATGCGCTCGTCGACATTCGTATCCGTTAGAAGTTTTTTAATATTAAATATTTAATATAATCGTCATCTAAACCTTTTTAAATTATAATTTCTAATGCCTCTTCAATATTATGTATTATTATAGACAACAAAAAAAAACTATAATTTAAAATTATTAAAATAAGGTTAGAAATAAGTATAAGGACAAGGATTCTAATGTCAAAATTTCAGGTTTGCAATAAGTCTGATTTTAGCATGAAATTTATTTGACTCTAATTACGATGTCACTATTAGTGACTGGCTTCATAGAAATCTGCAATATCTCTCTTATTAAAGACAGGCACAATCTTTATTAAAGTTAGTGATCTGCGCATGCTCAGATGTCAAAATAAGAGCGGCACTAATAGTGACTGACCTTAAGTAAACTTGCAATAACTCTCTAATTATAGTTACTTACATTATTATTTTTTAAGGCAGTCCTTTTACTTATATTCTCAAAATTCTCAAGAACTTCTTGTATCAATGACACAGAATAATCAACAGTGACAATGCTTTAAACCGTTCAAATTTCAACTAGAAATCACAACCGCTACAAGGCTACAACCCACATACTTTGATTACTATACGAGGCAAGAGAGAGGTCCGACACGCCCAACATAGGGCGCGGCCATTTTGAACCCTGTGACACAGTTTACAGCTAAAGAATCAGATCGCTCACTTTGCGTCGGCACTTTTGATCTCAATGTTTCAGTTTATACACTGTGCAACTCGGATAATACAATATATGACAACCGCCTATAATAAAACAGCAGTCTTCTGCGTATCCTGAATTTGTATCCCTGGAGTGGTGCCTATTAAAAGGCACCACATACTTTGATTTTCTTTTACTATACGGAGAATGGTCGCACTGCGCAGCTTTCTGAGTGCCTTTTAAAAGGAGATAGAAAACTCCGCCATTTTGAACCCTTATTACGTGTGGCCTACATCTTGGCGCAATATTTTTAATAGGTGCGTTTTAATCATCCTCTTCTGCTTCGGAATTGTCGGTTTTCTTGTTTTAATTTGACAGGTTAAAACGACTAAACCGACAATTCCGGAAGCAGAAG